TGCACACACCACTCTGCACAGACCTCCATCAGGGAAAAGAAAGCTGACAACCTGAGGGCCTTGGATTCCCACTGGCACAGAGAAAAACCCCTCAGGGGTCCTCTTTCCCCCTGCCAGCCCTGTCCTTGGGTGTGGCCATGACAGGACCACCAGGTTTCCACGTGTTCAATGGCTGGTTCCTGCCCAGAAGGGACACCTCCCCTCAAGTCCCCCTTCCCCCACATGGAGATGAGGGAAGTGGGCCTGCCCAGGGAGGGCTCCCAGAGGAGGCTGGTCCCAGATTGGCCTGCTCCAGGCTACCCGGTGTTACCTTAAGTGACCGCCTCATAGTAGAGCAGAGGTGTTGTGGTTGAGGGTTCAACCAATGCCTACGGCCTCTCAGAAACCTCTCACTCCAGGGTTTCCTGGAGGAGAAGCCCCGAGAGTTCACGAAACAGAAAGAACTTGTTTCTCTGTGAATTGTCTCCGGCCAAGTGAGGTTGCTCAGGGGCTGTCCCTAGAATGTGGGTGCCTGGTAACCAGGTTCCATTTCTGTTGGGGTCTGTGGTAAAGGAAGTGACATCACTTCCTGGGGTCCACTTCCTGGAACCCACTCCTCAGACAACACCTCCACACACAGCCCTCTGGGCTGCTGCCTTCTCACCCCCTTCTCATTGCAAACCCACCTCTTCCACAGTTACAGCAGCCATGCCCTCTCCACGGCTCCCGGGGAGGCTCTGCATGCAGCTGCGAGGAGAGGACTTGGCTTCCAGACTCAACTCCTCATTGTTACCTGTTCTACATCTTGTATTTATCCTGGTGTTTCTCCAGGATGGTCTCCCCATCTGCACAGTGGGACTGATTCTAGTCGTACTTCTAGAGACGTCCTCAGGCGCATGTGGGGTAAGACCTGAGAAGTGTGGGGGTGGTGTCACTTGTAGGTGATGCCTCCAACCCCATGATTTTTTGTCTTATAACCAAGCTCACATCTGTTCCTCTCCTGATCCTACCCCTTATTTAATGTCACTGTGCACGTGTGTCTGTGTGTGTGTGTGTGCTTGTGCACACATGTAAGCCATAGCTCACTCTCTGTGCAACCAG